AAGAGACTATAATTCAAATGAATAACAACCTTTCTAAAGAGAATTATGGTATGCACGTTATAAGATACCTAAGGTTGATTGAAACATAAATATGTTAAGCATAGGAACTAGTTATCACATTCCACTTTCATCCCAAACGGTCTTACCGCGTTCCCCCTACTAATCTCATGTCTCCCCTTAGTGAGCATCTCATAGATTCCGCGAAGGAACCGGAAAAGGATCAAATTTTTGGGCTACTCGACATCATGATTTCGCATCCCCTTTCCTTAGTCTACAACCTATGATTCCCTCCACCGATGAAAGACTCAACTCCTAGGTCCAAAGGTCTTCCCTAAGGTTGTAACGTAAGGCAAGAAGGGTTAAGGTAGGCTTAAAATTTAAAATTTGGTGGTTATCCTAAATTGTGAAGCAAAGACCGGCCAAATCTCAACATCAAACTTAAGTAATCACCAAACAAAAACGTATTAACACCCCCAAGCTTATTCAAAGCAACAATCTACAATCATTAGAACAAAAAGCAAGAGCTTTCCCCCAAGCTAAAAGAAACATTGTCCACAATGCATGAGAGGAGAAAGACACTTCAATTTTTTTTTTTTTTTTTTTTTTTTTTTTTTTTTTGAGTTTTCTCATTAATAAAATTGTTTGAATTTCCTTGAACTCCTTAAAAGCATTAGTCCTTGCCCTTTTTTACTAAGGACGGGTTTTACATAAGCATTTTTCATTATTTACCAAATATAAACAACTCAATTATGTGTACCAATTCGAACCAAACCCCAACTTCATAGACCACATATCACCAAACATTGACCCTTGCTTCACAAAAACCAAAAATAAAGGAGAACGAAACAAAAGGCTCAAGATATCTAATTATGCGGCTTGAAAAGAGGGAAAAGGGTTCAAAGGGGTAACAAGTAGGCAAATTTATCCCAAACCAAAAAGTGACTATCCTAGAAAGAGAAAATTACCTCCCCGAAAAACTTGCCTTTGTCCTCCCTAGGTAGTTTGGTCACGGTCTTAGGAATCATACGCTAAGATTCTAGATTAGGTTTGCGAAAATCAAGGATCCATGCCGCTCATGCAAGAGTATGATGAAAGCTTGAACAAATATAAATCTCACATGGTTGTAGCAAAGACTCACTAAGGGTGTGAAATCAAAGATAGGGAGCAACTACCAACATGCCATAAACGAGTAGAATCCGGTTTCATGATCCCCCTAGTTCTAGACAACTATCTTAGCATGCTTTATCCTAGAATCAACCAAACGTAATCTCAAACCGTGCATACCATTATTACCTAAGAAGAACATTATTCAAAAGCAAAAGGTCAGTGCATACAAGTCCAATTTTCAAAAAGAGAAAGAGTGAAAATAAAGCCTCAAAAAGTTATGCACACAAACAAGATTAAAAGAAAAGGAAAGAAAAGAAAAGAAAAGAATGGGAAACTTAGACAAGGACAAGAAAGGGAAAGAGGAAAAGAGCAAAGATGCAATCATAACACGTTTATCCCAATCGACATACAAGCGGTCTAATGGCCACATCGCCAAAGACCCCAAACACACTAGGTGTTAAAATCATACATCCTCGAACCGTTCAACTTCTCCTAAATCTAATCTTAATCTAAGCAACCAAGAAAATGAAGAAGTGAAAATAGAAAGGTAAAATAAGAAAGGCCTCACCAAGCATCCACTCTAAATTAAAGTACCCAAGGAGTAGGAATGTGCATCTCCAAAAGGTTCCGCAATCCAAAGCACAGGCTACGAGCAAGGTGAGTTAAAGAAAAAGGCTATATATACAAAATGAAATTGTTAGTAACTTCCAAACAAAAGAAACCAATAAAACACTTAGATACAAATTATATACAAAGACCTAGAGAAACCATCATCATTAAAATTTCTATTTATTTGTTTTTTTTTTGTCTTAAGAAACTCCCAAAAACATCAAGAAATGAACCAAAACAACAAGCAACAGACCAACGAGACCATTAGCAAAAATCCACCAAAAGCCTTATCAAAGACTTCCCACCGAGCCCCAGGTGCTTCCCCAAACCAACATAAAACATCCTTTTTGGCCCTCCCCCTCACAAAATGAAGGCATCGACCGCGATGCCTATAATCATGCAAAACAGGGAAAGGGGAGAACAAAAAAAAAGGGAACAACCCTGCATAAGGGGACTATTGGCCACTAGGGCCGGCACCATCATCACCCGTATCCCAACCTCCGGTGTAACCGGGAGGAAAACCATAGTGACCCTGGAATAGGTCAAGTTGGGATCGGGTTAATTGGTCATAGGGCTCAGGCTGAACAAGGGGCTCAGGGTGATGGGGGTGAACATAGTAATATGCGGGATCACCCCAATAATCACTCCCCCCCAAGACCCTATAATCATAAGGTGGGAAATCGCGCCTTGGCACATCGGGGTCCTCCACCCCGGGCCAATATGGGTACGTAGGGAGGTTGTCACCACCCCATGAAGGTACCGACCCTTGTTGGGGCGGCACATAAGGGTAGTTGACCGGAGGTGTGACCTCCCCCCTACGCACACTAACGTCATACAATGCGCTAGTTTGATAAGACAAAGTTTGGTGGTCCGAGTACATACCTTGCATGCTCAATTGCATGCGCTCCATTTGGTCTCTCATGGCCTCCATCTCTCGGAGATAAGCATCCCCTTGGAAACCCTGTTGTTGTTGTTGTCGTCTTCTTTGTCTTCTTCTTCCTTGAGCATCATCATGAAAATGCTCATGTTGTTGTTGTAGTGGCAGTTGTTGTTGCTCTTCATCATATTCATCACCTCCTCCTTCCTCCTCTTCTTCATCATTCTTATCACCCCCATCAATCTCATCATCCTCCTCCATCTCATCCTGAATCCTCCCATTGTCCCTAGGGACCATCCAAATGTTCCTAGTCTCACGAAGGATGGAGGTGGCGGCCGGGTTAGGGAGAAGGCAATGGTGGGTATTTCTCACTAGCCAAGAGTAGGTGTCGGTTCTCCTAGTGCTAGTTATGAAACGTAAAGTGTTAACTTGCTTCAAACTAATCCACACGTCTTCACTCCTTCCAACCGGAGTGCAAGACTTCAAGAACCCCTCTTGCTTAAAATACGACACAAGACGTGTCACCATGCCCCCACAATGAATTTCCCCCGTTTTGACCCCATGCATTATATCCTTGCAACAATTCATGAAGATATAGCCAAAATTAATCCTTGACCTTAACTCCGGCTTGGAAGCCATCCATAACACCAAAATCTCCTCCCTAGACAACTTCCCCAAATATTGCTTATTAAAAACCGAATACCCAAGAATTCTATGAAGGATCCTAAGGGCCGGATGGATAATCTCACTAGCAAGAGACTTTTTCGAATCAAACTCCCTCTTGTTGGCTATGGTTCTCCACCAAGAAACCTCATTATACTCAGATTGGACAAGGGAGATAAGGGGCTCGAAGATATCACCATTGGGGTTGAAACCAAGGGCTACATTGAACTCGGCTAGGTTCATGGTGTGTTTGACATTGAAGAGTTGGAAGGAAATAATAAAATCGGTTTCCCCCACCGTTATTGAACTCAAATGTGGAGAAAAATTCAATGGAAGGCTCCAAATAGGTTCTAGGGGCCGATTTTAGAAATTCACCCAAGCTAAGGTTATCTAGGAGGATGTCAAGGTCATTTTCAATTCCTAACTTGGCCATATCCTCACGAAAGTAATGCCGGGAGGGTCTAAACTTCCGGTCTTTCATTTTGTTATAGATGGGGGTTTGTTTAGTCCGGTTCCAAAATTTGAGAGGGGGTAAAGGAGGAGGAGGAGCATCATCTTGAGTTGTGGAATGCGGTTGGGGTTGAGGGTTTGAGGAGTGGCCTTGAGAAGATTGGTCGGGGGATTGGTTTGAGCGCTTCTTGCTACTTTTGACTCTTTTTATCAAATCCATTTTAACAAAATTCACACAAGTCACAAGAACACAAAAAACTCCCTCAAACAAATCAACTTCCTCCAAAAATTACTCACAAACCTCCTTACAAATCCAACCAAACCACCACAAACTACAAGGTACCTGTTCCAATCAACACAACAACCAAAATCCAACAACAAACTACAATATCAACAATCATTCAACAATATAATCATGAATCAACAAGAAAAAGTAACAATCACCCAAATATACCAATTTTCCCATAAATCAACCATAAAACACAAAAATCATGCTCAAATTCAAGGTAAACAAACCAATGTAAAGAAATCAATTGAAATTGACAAAAATATTACAAAGGTTAGAAGTATACCAAGATTGGAGACTCAAAGTAAACTCAAAGCACTTCAAAGACCCGAAATTTCCCGAAGAAGCACGAGAAAGAAGAGGAGGAGTGTTGAAAATGGAGGAAAATGGAGGAAATTGTGAAAAATTTGGGCAAAAAGTGAAGAAATTTGTGGGAAATTGATGTTTTGGGGTTAGGGTTTGAGAGGAGGTATAGAGAGAAAGGGGAAAAATAAGGAGAAGAGGAGAAAATAAGAGAGGAGAGAGGGAGAAGAGAGGCGTGCCCTGGGTTAAAACCCAGTTCGTCGCGCCCTCTCCCGAAAATGCCGCGCCCGCGGATAAACTCCCGCGCCCGCGGAGGGACCGCGAGGCAACCGCGGGGACTTCCTGGAATTTCAGAATTTTAGTACCTGATGGGGGTCGCGCCCTCTCCAAATTTGCCGCGCCCTCTCCAAAACCTCCCGCGCCCGCGGAAAGACCGCGGGGCAACCGCGGGAAGTCCCTGGAATTGGGTTCCAAAGTTGCTTGAATTTAGGCCGCGCCCTCTCCAAATATGGAGCGCCCGCTCCAAAACCTTTCGCGCCCGCCCGCGGGGAGACCGCGGGGCAACCGCGGGGACTTCCTGGAATGAAGCTTCAAATTTGGTCGAATTGAGGCCCGCACCCTCTCCAACAGGGGGCGCCCTCTCCTGAATCTCCCGCGCCCACGGAGAGACAGCGGGGCAACCGCGGGAAGTCCCTGGAAATGATATTATAAATTTGCCTCAAGAAGAGAAATTTCCCCCGAGGTCTCTCCTTGCCCTCGGGGAGCCCTCTCCCCAGCACTCTTAACTTTTCTTCTAACCCCTTTGTTTTTCAACAAGCGATGATAATGCTTGACCTACAAAACAAACACAAAACTAACTCAAAAATAAAATCAAAAACCAATCAAGAAGAAAAGAAAGGAAAAAGAAAAGAGATGAGAATCCGGGTTGCCTCCCGTAAGCGCTGTTGGTTAACGTCGTTAGCTCGACGTGCACCACCATTTCAAGGTGGCTTGAAAAGAATCATCTTGTGAACAAGTGCAACAAACACTCCCTCATAGTACTTCTTGAGCCGATGACCATTAACTTTGAATGAAGATGAGGAGTTCAAAGGAGAAATCTCCACGGCACCATTATCAAAAACATCTTTCACCAAGAATGGTCCACTCCATCTTGACATGAGCTTTTCGGGAAACAACTTCATCCTTGAATTGTAGAGGAGGACTTTGTCACCTACACAAAACTCCTTTTTCTCAATCAACTTGTCATGAACCTCTTTGGAGCGAGCCCTGTAGGAGCTAGCACAATCGTAAGCATCAAGTCGAAGTTCCTCTAGCTCATGAAGATCCAACCACCTCTTCTCCCCCGCACTAGCTAAGTTAAAATTTATCTTCTTGATAGCCCATAAGGCACGATGTTCAAGCTCTACCGGGAGATGACACGATTTGCCATAGATAAGGCGATATGGAGTGGTACCTATAGGCGTCTTAAAAGCCATTCTATAAGCCCAAAGAGCATCATCTAACTTGTTCGACCAATCCTTTCTATTCCTTGCAACCGTCTTCTCAAGAATGAGCTTTATTTGACGATTGGAGACCTCGACTTGGCCACTCAATTGAGGATGATATGGAAGGCCGAATCGTTGATGCACTCCATGTTTCCTCAACATCTTTTGGAAAGCATTGTGAACAAAATGAGATCCGTTATCGCTTATCACAGCCTTAGGCACGCCAAACCTTGGGAAGATGATTTTGTTGAACAACTTCAGCACTACTTTGTGGTCATTAGTAGGGGAGGCAATGGCCTCAACCCATTTAGAAAAATAGTCCACAGCCACAAGTATGAATTGATTACCATATGAAGATGGGAACGGTCCCATGAAGTCAATCCCCAAACATCGAACACCTCTAACTCAAGAATGGGTTGTTGAGGCATCTCATTCCTCTTGGAGATATTCCCAACCCTTACATCGGTCACATGACTTCACAAAGCCCCATGAGTCCTTGAAGAGATGCGGCCACCACAAACCACATTGAAGAACCTTTGTAGCGATCTTGGAAACACCCATATGCCCACCACTAGGGTCTGAGTGGCACATCCTTAAAACACTAGGCACCTATTCATTCGGAACACAACGCCTAAGTAAGTCATCAACCCCTCGTTTGTATAGGATGGGATCATCCCACAAGTAATGTCTTGCCTCCCTTTTGATTTTCTTCCTTTGGTTCTTTGAGAAAGAGGGTGGAAACTCCCCACATGCTAGAAAATTCACCAAGTCGGCATACCATGGGAGTTCCTTCACCTCTATGGCATATAAGAAGTCATCAAGCATTCTATCCTCAATTGGTGAACCATCATCATGAATGTGATCACCCTCAAGGCGAGAAAGATGGTCCGCCACAACATTCTCCGCACCCTTCTTATCCCTAATCTCAATCTCAAAAGTTTGCAATTCAAGCACCCATCGAATCAACCTAGGCTTGGACTCTTTCTTGGCAAAGAGATACTTGAGGGCCGCGTGGTCCGTGAAGACTATGGTCCTGGAATTCAACAAGTAACAACAGAATTTCTCAAAAGAGTGCACAATTGCTAAAAATTCTTTTTCAATTGTTGTGTAGTTCTTTTGAGCCCCATTGAGTGTCTTGGACATATAATAGATCACATGAAGCTTCTTTTCTACACGTTTTCCCAAAACACCTCCAATAGCCCAATCACTTGCATCACACATCAATTCAAAAGGAAGATCCCACCTTGGGGCTTGAACAATATGAGTGGAGATAAGGGCCTTCTTCAATTTATCAAATGCCTTCAAGCATTTGTCATCAAAAATGAACTGAACATCCTTTTGAAGAAGGTCATTTAGGGGCTTAGAAATAAGTGAAAAATCCTTGATGAATCTTCTATAGAAACCCGCATGACCAAGGAACGATCTCACACCCTTGACATTCACCGGAGGTGGAAGTTTCTCAATAACTTCTATTTTTGCCTTATCCACCTCAATGCCTTTATTTGAAATCTTGTGCCCAAGCACTATACCTTCTTCTACCATGAAGTGGCATTTCTCCCAATTCAAAACAAGATTGACCTTAACACATCTTTCCAAACACTTCTCAAGGTTCACAAGGCACTCCTCAAATGAGACACCCCCACCGAAAAGTCATCCATGAAAACCTCCATTTCCTCCTCCAACATATCCCCAAAGATACTCATCATGCACCTTTGGAATGTAGCGGGAGCATTGCATAACCAAAGGGAATTCTTCGATAGGCAAAGGTCCCATAAGGACATGTGAAGGTAGTTTTCTCTTGATCATCGGGGTGAATGGGGATTTGGAAGAATCCCGAATATCCATCGAGGAAACAATAGAACTTGTGCCTTGTTAGTCTTTCAAGCATTTGATCAATAAATGGAAGAGGGAAATGATCCTTCTTGGTGGATGTGTTTAGACGTCTATAGTCTATACACATCCGCCAACCCGTGACCGTCCTAGTTGGAATGAGCTCACCCTTCTCATTCTCAACCACGGTCATGCCCCCCTTCTTTAGAACAACATGCAGGGGGGAGACCAACCTTGAGCTAGAGATGGGGAATATGATTCCCGCATCCAATAGCTTGGTGATCTCCTTCTTAACTACTTCTCCCATTTGGGGATGTAGTTTTCTTTGTCGTTCGATAGAAGGAAGGGCGCCATCCTCAAGTGTTATATGGTGTTGGCACAAGGCGGGGCTTATACCTTTAAGATCATCAATTGTGTACCCCAAAGCACCTTGGCGCTTTCTCAAAACACCACATAATGCTTGAGCTTGGCTCACGCTCAAGGATGCACTTACTATCACGGGATAAGTGGAATGAGGGCCCAAGAACTCATACCTAAGGTGTGATGGTAGAGGTTTGAGCTCTACCATAGGCACACCATTACCTTCCTTTGATGTGGCTGCTTGCAAAGCCTCTTGGCTTGAGATTTTCAAGCACATTTGCTCATCCACTTCTTCCATGCTTCCGTTAAGCAATTCTTCATAGAATGCCACTTCCTTGCATGGTGTACCTACTTTGTCCTTGTTCAACAAAACATTCTCAAGAGCATCGTTAGAGGTGAGCAAGTGCTCATGCATGGAAGACACAACATGATCAAGTGAATCAATCATCATGTAATTTTCTAGAGAAGAAGATGAAAATTTCATGCTTTCATTCAAATCAAATTCAATGACCTCATCTCCTACCTTAAGGGAAATCTTTGCACTCCTCACATCAATCATAGCACCCGAGGTAGCAAGAAAGGGTCTACCTAAAATGATTGGAATAGTAGCATCTTCATCCATTTCAAGCACAATAAAATCCACCGGGAACACAAACTTCCCAACCCTCAATGGAACATCTTCTACCTTACCTTTTGGAAACTTGATTGACCTATCGGCTAATTGCAAGGTAATGTTAGAAGGTAAGAGTTCCCCTAGTTCAAGCCTTTGATAAACCGAATATGGCATTATGCTAACACTAGCTCCCAAGTCACATAAGGCATTATCAATTTGCATCTTGTTAATGGAACAAGGGATGGAGAAGTTTCCGGGGTCTTTCAATTTGGGTGGCATTTTGTTCATGATGATAGCACTACAATTTTCGGTCAAATTGATAGTTTCCACAACCTCACAAGTCCTTTTCCCACTCAAAATTTCCTTGAGGAATTTGGCATAATTTGGCATTTGGTTGATCACATCGGTAAAAAGTAGAGAAAGATGAAGTTGTTTTAGCATATCAATGAATCTCCCAAATTGCTCATCTAATTTGTGTCTCATGAATTTTTGTGGGTAAGGGAGCTTGGGTTTCACAATTTCTTTCTCTACTCTCACCTCTCTAGGTGTCTCAACCACAACCTCATCCAATGATGCCCTAACCCCCTCATTCTCAACCAAGGCTTTCTTAGGAATCTCCTTATCCTCACCCTTCCTAGGCAATCTCTCCTCAAGAACCTTACCGCTCCTAGTAACAATAACATTCACGTGTTTCTTGGGATCAAGACCTTGGGAAGGTAAGAAGAAGGGCTTGCATGATCTTTCAAAGCATTAGCAAGTTGAGAAATTTGATTTTCAAGCATTTTATTGTGGGTCATCATTTCATTGAACTTCTTATCACTAACGGCCATGCATGTGTTCAACAACTTGGTTTGATTCTCAATTATTTCTTCCAAATTGGTCCTAGGTGAAGAAGGTTGGGAATAGGAATTTTCTCCTTGAGTCCTTGGAACAAATCCGGGTGGGGGACCTCTTTGAGCATTATTTTGAAAATTGCCCTTCCCTTGATTGTTCCAAGTACCCCTATTTTGATTTTGTCCATAACCTTTATTATGGTTACCACCACCTTGATTATGGTTACCACTACCTTGGTTGTGATTTCCATAACCTTGGTTTTAATTACCATAATTTTGGCTTTGATTTTGGCCACTATAACCTTGATTATTATAGCTACCACGGGAACCTTGGTTCCCTTGGTTTCTATAACCACCACCTTGATTATAGTTGTCAAAATTGCCTTGGTTTTGGTAATTCCTATTCCATTGACCTCTTTGATTATCAAACCTTTGAGCATTATTATTTGACACATAATTCACATGCTCACTCTCGTTGTTATCAAACTCATCAACACATTCATTAGGACAATTACTAGAGTCATGATCATACGATCCACATGCATCACAAAACAAACAACCCATAGGCATATTCGTAGCTTGGGATGAAGTATAAGTGCTCTCCAATTTGGCTTTGATTGCGGTCATCTCCTTTCCCAAGTTTGTCATTTGGGAGGAAAGGTTGTTGATCGCGTTTAGATGGTCTACCGAGTACAATGAAGATTGCTTGCTTGAAGAGTCTCTCTCCCCATCTTGCCAATCTCTATAGTACGTCACCACGTCCTCAATGATGTCCACCACTTCTTCTTTGGTCTTGTTCATGATAGGACCCCCGGCCCCCCCATCAAGGCATGACTTGCCTTGGGGACTTAAACCGCCATAGAAGATTTGGACCACTTGGTATGTTGGGATTCCGTGGTGAGGGCACTCCCTTTGATACTCTTTGTATCTCTCACATGCTTCGTAAAGGCTTTCATTTGGCCTTCTCTTGAACCCTTGAATCAAGGCTCTTGCCTCTGCCGTCTTCTTTTGAGGGTAAAAACGGGACAAGAAGGCCTTTGTAACATCATCCCATGTTCTCAAGGAATTGGGCTTCACCTCTTTATCTAACCACTCTAAGGATCTTCCTATGAGAGAGAAGGGGAACAACTTGAGGCATATGAACTCTTGATAAACTCCGTTGACTTTGATGGCGTTGCAATATTTTTTAAATTCTTTAAGATGGTTCAACGGGCTCTCATTCTTAGCCCCACTATATTGCCTCCTCTCAATTAAGGTGATAATGGCCGGCCGAATCTCGAAATCATTTGCCGGTGTTGTAGGTGGAGTTATGCCGCTCTCAAAACTATAAGCACCGGGTATTCCTAGCTCCTTCAAGGCCACTCTCGGATTTTCTCCCATGCCTTGCTCTTCTTTAATCTCTTCTTCACTTAAAGAACTATACCCCAAGGAGAATCGATTAGCTATTCTTCTTTAATACTTTGCACATTATAAAATTTAATTATGCCTAAAAAAATATAAAAGTCAAAGACTCTTTAAGAAATTATTCTCAAATATTATGAGATAAAGTATGATAAGAATTATAGGAAACGAGGAACAACAAAAAGGAATTAGATTCCATTTCTATTAAAAGGTTCATGTTACTCTAATTAACTTATCAATCATTATCTTCACAAGTATCAGATACTGCTTGAGTGTTCTACTTTGAAAGTGACCTCAAACTATTAAAGATAAGTTAAGTTATTGACTTACAAGCTTAGAATTAAGAAAGAAGAGCTACATTAGTTGTAAGGTCGTATGCTTAATTTAATGACCTTTTAAGCTATGGCTGAAGCAAATAAATTTTTATTGTATTCCATAATTAGCAAACAATCCAATAACACAAGGAAAGACTCACAATCAAAGTAAAGAGCAATAGTTGCGAATTTATTCGAATGGCAAGGCTGTCTAAACCATGAGTCAAGAATTCTTGATTATAGACAAACATTTCCCTAACATGAAAACTAATGAAGTTCAAATCACAGGCATGATTTGTATTCCGGACATCTTTAGATTTGTCACATTAACAAGAACATACTCAAAGCTATATAGGCTCTTGGCAGTTGATCGATTCGGAATCGTTCTTAGACAAGCAAGTCTTACTTGTTAAAAACCGACAAAGTAAAGAGCTATTGTTCTTTGTATAGACAATTGACTCCGAAAGCTAAAGAGGATTCAATTACTTCAACGTTTCACGAAGAATTTGAAAAAAATGTGGCTATATTCATCAAATGTGAACAAACTTGACCTTGAATAGTTCAATAGTTCAATAGTTCAATGAAGTAAAGAATCAACTTAGCAAGATATCAAAACGTCTAGGTTAGATCGAGCGATGTTTGCTCGAGCCAAGCATGACCATCACAAAGTTATGAAATTTAAATTTTCATAAATAAACTCCACAAAGAACATAGTGTGTTTTCACGGAGACCTCGATGCCATTTAAAAATGACTCGAACAATGATGGATCATATCCCTTCCTATAAAATCTTAAAGATTTGCACAAATGACTAATGTTACACTAAACAAAATGTCAAAGCTAAGAAAGGACACCATATTCAGTTATGGATAGAAATAACTTCTAAACGTCTTTTCAAGTATGTCTAAAACTCTTAGCCACAGTGGAAGTTCACTGGCTAAGTAAGAGCTTAGTAACTCAGTGGGATCTTAATGGCTCATTAAAGGCTAAGATAGCTCAAGTAGGAGCTAACTATTAGTTTCAAAATGAACTTTTAACCTAAGACAATATACATGTCTCTTTGTAAGCATTCAATTGATACTACGGGCATAACCTCTACAACCTAAATGAGAACATAATATTTGTTGCTCTAAGTGGTGTCTTTCTGGAAAGTAACACATTTCCAGAATGACAAGTGGGAGGCAACAAACTA